AAGATGAGTAAGTACATGTGGAGAATGTTTAACGCAATGAACTTAATCCGTAATGAAATAAAACCCGAAAACAGGCTTGGTTTGGTGCACTTTGGAGAGGGCACGGGCGATCCTGAGTATGCAATGAGAATGTGGCTCGACTATAAAAGGCAAGGAAAGACCGCCATTCCAAGGCAACAGGACAAAGTTCTACAGTTTTTGAGACAATTCAAATGCGATAATGCCCAAATCGGTCAGCCGATATCGTCGACTTGCATCGCGAAGATGAATGAAAAAGTCAACGCCTACAACGAGAGATTGGCTGCGCAGTGGACCGACGAACCTGTGCCACCGCCCTGGCACTACTGAGAGCTTAAATCGTGAAATTTACTGCTTTTCAATGAGGCAAAATGCAGTCCAAAAAAGTAAATTTAAGTGACTATGTATGTCTTTCGTCTCTTACGATAACAATATCGTCTTTAATGTAACTATTAATTTAAATTATGCGGCCAACCCAACTCGAAAGCTCATTGGCTAATTTGGTCACTGTACACGATTAAATGTACTTTCTTCTAGTTAATTTCTGTTCGTATTTTTTCTATATCATTGTAAATCATGTTATGTTAAGTTGTTTTTACTGTAAACAGTGTGAAATAATAAAGTGTGAAGTGTGACCATATCAACCAATAGTAACAATGGTACATATCACTAAGAGCCAGTGGGTGTATGGCCAGCTCCATCAGTGCTTCAAGTTTAGCACCTGATTTATTGAACAAAACACATAAAAGCTTTAACAAGGCAATTTCAGCTAGTCCACATAATCACCTGACCCTTAACCCTTTAACCCCAGATCAAATTTGTAATTCTCCTTACTGTCAACCATAAAATTCTTATAATGTTAATTCAGAGAATTTAGTATTGTATCAACTTATTATCCCCAATTGATATTTTTATTTATTGTCACCAATTATCTGGTTGATACTACATTGATATTGTAAGGAGAAAGCAGTCTGTCTTGGTCACTCATGGGAGTTAACTCTCATGAGTGACCAAGACAAAACTTCTCCTTACAATATCAATACAATATCAAGCGGAAAAGAGCCAAGAATAAAGAAAAATATCAATTAGGAGTGATCCAATACCAAATTATCCAGACTAACGTTATTGGAATTATATGGCAGATGGTAAGGAGAATTACAAAGGAGATCATCAGGGTGAAAGAGTTAAAACTTATTCCACTTCTTGATGTTACCTACTTCTCATTTAATTTTGTTGCATTAAAATGACTTCCTTTTTCCGTTTGAAATCGCGCGAATCACAGTGCACACTATGTATGCATTGCAATTAACAAAACGACATAATTTACCCATCAGGTGTGTACAACGCTCACTTACTTATTTACCAAAAACACGAAAAATTATCAAATGAATATGATGTGAATACGATATCAAGCAGCAAGTGATGCGAGTAAAGCTTTAAGCTTCTTATTACAGTTGCAAATACACCTGTATGTAATACTGGGATAGGAAACAAATGATTGGTAACTGACCGACAGAGCGAAGATTAACGCTTTTTTAACGAAGTGAGAAATTTAAAGAACCTAGAATAATACCAAAAATAAATTGAAGTTGATATGCTTGTCAATGTGGAGAACCTCTCGAAAACTACTGAACAAATAGGAATGGATGCTGCTGGGATGCTAGAACACCCCGTCAAAATCCCTATGGCATAAAAGGCTGCCCTGGTAAGTAAAACAGCGAAGTTACAACACTCAATCTCAACTAGATTTTCATCGCTCTAACCATGCTGGTATCTAGTTATCAAAGTACAATCAATCGAGATGTGCTCTATCCGGTAGATATAGCGTCATATGCAAAAATTACTGCCTAAAGGTTCGCGGGACAATATTTAGGAATGCTTAAATAGCTTACCGCTGTAATAAAAAATATTTGAAAGAAATATTTGAGCAATAGAATGTTTTGCTTCATTAACAGTCTATCAACGTAAAAAGTGCGATAAAATTTTTGATTTACGAGCCGAACATCCTGAATCGGACGAACACCAGGAGGGCACCGACGATTGCCCTGGAACTGTCTGTCTAACTGTGGCGGGTTTACTAACTGGAATAAGCAGATCGCGGAATATTCGAGGGAAAGAAGCCAAGTCTCTTGGTCGATTTTCACAAGATGGTACGCTGCTGTTGAAATATACCACCTCAACAGCGACGAGGTTGACTGGCTGACATTGCCAAGTTTATCATTTAGGCGTTCAGTATTCAACTCCTTGATGGCATCAAATTCTCGAGATCATTCTCTGTCAAGTTTGTGTTCTGTACATGACCTTCAGATTATGTTTTCATCGAGAAGGAAGGCCCTGAAATTTATCAAAACTCAAAGAACGTAGCGAAAATTGTTTACACAGTGAATTGTAATAACCTCACGATATTCTCGACAGTACGTAACCAAAACGCAAGACATGGCGAAATGAAATTATCTCATATTATTCTTGCAGCGAAGCGCTCTGCCTCTATTTTATCAATAGAGGGAACAAAAGCGATCGGACACCTTTAAGCATCAAACTGGAAGAACACAGTGTATATGCCCTCCGCGTGACCCAATCCCTTAAATTTTTTCACGGTACAAAAACTATGACAGATCATCTTTGTGACAGGGTTTTGATAATGTTTCGAAATTTTGTTTATTTTGCTGGCGCTTTTATTGAAACGCTGATTTTGTGGCTCTATTCCTTTAAAGTAGATCTTCAAAGTTTTCCCAGTTGCAAATTTTAAACCACTGAAATATGCAACGGTCAACTAAATGAACACACTGTTAGCCAAGCGTGTTAATCCGTCAGAGCAGAGTGCATTTTTCAATTAATTAAATTCAAAACTCACGAACACAACTGAATTTCTAAAGTACATCACATTCGGTAAACCTATAGCAAAAATGACCTATATTTTATCAAGAGTGATACTTTTTTCCGGTGAAATATTATTACTTCAATACAAGGTACGAGTGTTAAAATTGGATGTAAATTCCTGAGTCTGAAAAAAACTGCGTGACAAAGACACAAAACAAAAAAACGTTAATAGTAAACAGTCAAGTTTTTACTAACCGTGTGATATTTGTTTACACAAAGAAATATTTCAGCATAACAATCCGACCATCTACTGAATCGCTATAAATTTGCGCGCGTTTTGACTTGGTAAGCCAAACCGTCACAGCTAGGCGTACACGCAGCGACTCTGAAGAGTAAAATAACTATCTCAGGAAATTTTGGTAAGTGGGCCTATTGTCATGACTAAATCTAGCCTCCACTTCAGTGAACCGTTGCAATTTCGATATTTAGTTGTTTTGGAGACATTTTTCATACGTTTAGCTACATGTTTTGGAAAAAATATATAATATCGAAAATTATTCAGATAATTTCTCTGGTTCTGTCGCACCCTGTACAAATCTTTTTGGAATACTCCTTCTTATGCCTCGTGTCTAAGTGTTTGTTTGAACTTAGCGTTTGCATTTTTTTGTTGGGATGGTATAGAGGGTGACCATATTGAGTGAACATGTTGGAGTGTGAGATTCAAGATTGGACATTTTGAAGTCTTAGATTTACCTGATTTAAAGCACCGTGAATTCATTAGCGAAGGTTCTGTCACTTTCGCCATAGGAAATTTATCTCTCCACCGCAAGGTTTTATTCTGTTCCTCATATGACAAAGACAAAATTCAAATTTGTAGTTGGGCAGTGAAAAATTTTGAATCCATAGACTCTTAGGTCGCATCCACTCGGTCATTTAACGGTCTCAAATCTTAATTGATATATTGGACCCTAAGGCGTCTGTTGTGTGACTTCAATTGAAGCTAATTCGGGTTCAAACTAAATAAAGGAATATCACGGAAAATTTACGTTGACCATTGCGCGCGTAAAATTATGTTCAAATTTCAAAAAGGCAATAAACGAAGGTTGACCAAGTTGGACTAGGTTAAATAAAAAATGTTGAAATGTCCAAACACCAGACAAATCCTTACAAAAGGTCGAGATTAAATGATCACTCAATAAAGTTCCCACAATTTGAATTTTTTTTTGTGAGAAATTAACACGAGTGGTATTCAATAGCATTGACATTCTTCATTTAACGTAAAACGCTCCCGCACGAAAGGTTCGATTGTTGCAGCTACATGAGTGGTCTTAAGTGGCAAAAAAAACACATTATCTTATAATGTCTCGATGCCATGATTCTAGCGCAGCAAGGAAAAACGTGTGAACCGGTTGAATATTTCTCTGTTCGGGCACTAAGTCCGGTTTCCATAAAATGTCTGATCGAAATATTCGAAAATTAGCGAAGGTCATTCTATCCATTCACCCTATTTTCCATTCACAAGTTGACTCAAGGAGTCCTGTGATTGTGCAAAAGTCAAAGAAAACTCCAAAAGTGAGTGAACAGTTCTTGTGCTTTAATTTCTTTAACTCGTTCTTATAATTCTTGCTCTAAACTCTTTTTCGCCTTGCGTTCAGAGTCTAGAGAAAGGGTAAAAAGAAAAAACTCTGGGTTGAAAATCTTGAACCCATGAAAAATTCGAACCCGAGAACGTAAATTTAACCATTAATTGAAGAAACATCGAGTCTAATGGAACTCAAGTTGTAGCTTGTAAAATCTGCGTTTGCACGAATGCACTCGAGGAGGCAGTTTGAGTTATACATTAAAATACAGTGTAAACAATTGCCACAGCAATCAAACGATTTTTCAAACCCCCAATTAAAGTTAAGCGTGAATAACAGAACCCAGATATAATCGGTCCGTTGCATGGGACGCATCTTAATTATCTCGGTCTCTCAGCACTTTTTAAGTTTTAAGTTCCAATGTATATTCCAAAGAGAAATCAATGGATATAATAATCGGTCCGTTGCATGGGACGCATCTTAATTATCTCGGTCTCTCAGCGCTGTTTAAGTTTTAAGTTCCAATGTATATTCCAATGAGAAATCAATGGATTTCTTTCAATCAACCGATTTACAGCAGTGCGCGAGTCAATCGAACCTCCACATGATGACATCACTATTGTGTATCATCGTATTTTCTGTGACCTTACAAGTCAGCAATGGTGCTCGTATGGGACCTAAGACTCCTCAACCTGGTGATTTCAGACAGTGCCGTCTGAGCTACAAGCTAAAGGAGCAGTTTGTTGATCTTCACAATGAGTTTCGGAGTCAGGTAAAGCCAAGTGCAGCGGACATGGAGTACGTGGTGAGTTAAACAGTCTTCCTTGAGGAAGTTTTCTTTGAAGCCACCTGTTGCCTTGTAATATTACATTTTCTGATTGGCCGTTGTCAAATCCCTTCGTCAAAGCGAGGGACTTAAGGCTAACACTCGAAACGTCAGCTTTGAAACTCTTTACGGTGGCCAATTTACGTTATCAACTCAGTTGATAATACTAAATTACCCTGATAACTCTCCCACCGATGCAGCACCAGTTTCTTTAGAAACTTACCCCCTTTATTCGTTGCAATTAAGGTTTTGGCTATTTAAACGTTAGAACGAAAGGCGCTAGATATGCTACGAAACAATTTCACTGAATTCTTCATCTTGTATCGATTCAGGTGTGGAATGATGACCTTGGTAACCTGGCTCAGATGTGGTCGGATAAATGCGAGTGGATGCATGGCTTTACTAGGTTTGGGGCGTGGCACCCAAACCAAAATTTTCGAAGCAAGTCTGTAGGTAATTGAGGAAAAAATAAACGATCATTACCGGAAAACTACATATTAAGTTGCAATTTGGGTTAATTTTTCTGATAAGCCTACCATTTACAAGCACGCTGGTCGTCCAAGATCATCGCAGATAATTTCATGAAGGCAATTTTATTACTGTCCAATAGATTGTAAGAAAAACTAAACGTTCGTTACTGACATGTAAAATTTTAGAACTTGAGAGGCTCATAGAAGAGATAATGATGCAGAGGCATGTAGGGGAGACTGAGAGTGTTTCTGCCCCACTTTTAACATAAGAGGAATTTTATCGTACTTGTTAGTTTTTTAACCTTAGTGTGTCTCTGCTCAGTTAGAAGCACATCAAAAACAACTAGAAAAGATGGCAACTGGCAAAAATTTACCTTAAAAACAAACAATCAAACAGAAAAGAAACGTGATTCATTCTGTCGAAAAAAAGGTTTTCTTTTTCTCTTTCTCTACAATGACAATCACCAGGTCAAAACTTGGCCCGTGAGTGGGGCAAGTGGATTGAAAGTAAAGATGCTGGCCCAGAAGATTCTGTACGCCGATGGTTTATTGAAAAAAACTATTACAGTTTTTCAAAGTTTGCTTATCCGATGCCTTCATGGATGTGCCGCAAAGAACCATGTGGACACTATACACAGGTTAGTTTACAGATCACGATCATAATGCTGGTATCAAACCAACTCATAAGTAGCTTTGTAAAGACATTCGCTTGTAAATATGCACCCTTCGAGACGCACTTTCTCTCAGTTGTTACACATATGTGGACGCATGAGATTACATCTGCAAAAACAGTCGATGAAAGAAGCTGTAAGACTACAGGATAAAACAAGGTTTTCGACAACTTTTTTGACAAGCACGCTGATCATATTGCAAAGATATTCAGAGGTTAAATTGGGAGCTAAGATATGATTTGCGCATCTGGCATAATTTCTCTGTTATACATTCATTCTTTTCAATATTCTGTAAACTTAACCACCATTTCTTTTTGTTTCAGAATAAACTCTTCACGCGTTCAAAAATTATGGGATACTCTCATATCGCATTGCAAAATATTACATAGCATCGAAAGTAGCGTCGAAGTATCGTGACATTGCCCCATTCAATTAAAGCTGCGCGTAAAGCTACGCCTTGGATAACATAAAACAGCCCCCGTTTTCGACTTCAGAACTTTGAGCATTACCCTGTAAGAACGTCATTTTCGTCTCGCTTTCCTTACTTAAGGTTGTGTGGGCCAAGAGCAAACAGGTTGGATGTGCCTTTAACTGGTGTGACAAGTACTTTGGTCAGCCTCACCCCTGGGTCCCTGGAGAGACAGTTGTAACTTGTGACTACTATCCAAGGTAGGTGCTGGATAAAGAGATTACTGCATGGAAAGTCCGCACAAACGATTTCTATACACGAGTTACGATGCATGAAAAAACCGAACGACTAAGCACAGCGAACGAGTGAGTTTTTTGATGCATCGCACGAGTAAATACAATTGTTCAAGCATTTTCCATGGAATGTTTTTATTTCATATATACCGAGATTTACACTGTGAAGTATGAAGCAAACGACTGTGAAAATACATCGTTTGTCCAATCAGAGAAACGACAGATTGTACTACACAGTGTAACTCTGAATATGTCTGAAATAAATTCTCTTTAGAGACGACACAGTCTGCGTCAATTACAAACAGATAACAAGTAAACTGTCACCGAAGAGTATTTCATTTGGTTTATTTTCTGGAAGCACAGGTCGATAGTTTTGAATAAATCCTGAAAACGTTTAATTCTTAGAAAGTAATGCACGTGTTTACAAGCTCTAATAAAATGTTTGGATGGAGTCGCCGGGTCCCGAATTTGTCTCCTTAGAGAAAACTAACTTACAATTATTATCTAACATATTTTTTTTATCATTTTTGCAGTGGTAACGTGGTAGGACAGCAACCCTACACGCCTGGAACTCCATGCACAAAGTGCGCTAGCGGCCAGGGTTGGTGCTACAAGAATCTTTGCAGTGAGTATAAAAAGAAGGTCAATAGGGAAAAATGGCCTCAAGCTACAAATAGCTCTAACTGTCATGCTTGAACTTTTTACAGGAGAGTGTAAGAATTTTAGCCCGAAATGTGGAACTACCTACACGAAAGGCATGTGCCTGACAAAAAGACAACTGATGGAAAAATACTGCCCTAAGATGTGCAACCTTTGCAGTGAGTATAGTTTTAAGTAAAACATAGGATGTCTCCATTCAGGGCCCGTTCTATTTTGTCGCAAGAACATTTCCTCCTCTATCAATAAAGTCTGTTTTACTGATGAATATAATCTTTTAAGCAAGGGTCAGTGACAAAGGTCTAGATGAGGTTGTTTCGCGAATCTTTCTTAAAAATAACTTCTTTCACTTTTTGGTTGTTTAAATCCCAACCAGTTGTCTTTAGTCAGCTTTATAAAGGGTTGTTCGGAATATTACGTTCTGTTATCGAGCTGTTTCCTAGTTTACTGAGGAGGTTCATTTTTTTCCAAGCTTCTCACTCCCAAGAACTAATTTCTAGCCTTCTGCTAATCTGCTGTGCAAAGCATATAGACATCAAAAGTGATTTTTGTGCTTATCATATTTCTCGACCGATCTCTGTTGAAATTTTGCAGGATGTCCCTTGCAGTGCAAAAACGGAGGACAAGTTGACCGTAACACTTGCACTTGTACCTGCTATGGCAAATGGAAAGGCTCCGATTGTTCTGGTAATAAAAAGTGCAAGTTTATTACCTTGTTTATTTAAAGTTTTAAGGCACAAAAAAAAACCCAAGCTTGAAAAACAAACTCTCACAGCCTTAAGAAAGTCACTTGACTTTATTCACAGCGCGACTTTTCATGCAATTTTTAGTGTGTTGAGAATAACTCGGGTCTATTGATCGTTGATGGTATAACGAAAACGGCAGAAAATGACGATTATATTAATTCATCGAAAAAGGTTACTCAATATATATATGCAAGCTGGATTATCGCATATAGACATAGAAAATTTCTGGGGTGATTCCCTATCGCAAAAGGCGCGATCAACTCATGAAACTCGAGGATTTGGGATCCAGGTTCACCAACCTACCTAAATTAAGGTTATCCGTTAATTTTTCTTTCACGCACATAGCGTGCCATACATAGTTCAAACTTCATTTCTTCCATATTTAGTAGTTCTTTTGTTTTGGAAAATTAAAGTTTTTCAAAGCCTCAAATGGACTATGGTCGGTAAAGGGCCAGAGATAAAAGGCTGAAAAAGCTTTCAAAGTGTATGAAGGACTAACACTCGCATGTATTTTTTTTCAGAGAAGATCTGCGATGAGGGGTGGTACGGAGAGAAGTGTGAAAGTAAGTCAGATCAGTCCAATTCTAGCTACACAATGATTTAAAGGGAACTTCACTGTTTGACTTAGTGTATACCGCTGAAACAGTTATTCACGACTAATGTCAACACAGACCTCGTCAAATGTCAATACAATCGACTGAGGATCTGAAACTCGAGGAAATATTTGGTTAGAATGGTAATAACGTTCACTAAGCTCTGTTAAGACTTGGTGGTAACTTGATCATGACTCGTATGAACCAATTCAAGTGCACGAGGTATTTTCTAGGGAATGAGTACAAAGGAAGTTCCAGATGGTATTCAAATAAAACGTTGCTCGCTTTATCGAATAGTTCTTGCAATTACCACCACTGTAAGTAACGAAGTCTAAGCGTGCAAAAGATTAAGCGACTTTAGCATACCGGATTCTTGTAAACCAAATAATCAGTTAACAAATCAACAATACAGTGAGAAAGTAGTTCTTCAAAATGTTGAATTATGTAAAACGTCTTCACATTTTTAAAAACTGAGATACCTTTTCTCCAAACAGAACGGTGCTTCGACAAAGTGGGAACATCTACATGCAAGTGGCGAGTCCAAAACGGACATCCATGTTCAGTAACATACATGAAGCTCGACTGCGTCAAGACCTGTGTTTGTGGTACAGTAACCCCTTTGAATCGTCTATGCGTTACCTAGTCTCCAACTTTTCTTTTAGTATTTTTGCTATATTCATTTATATCTGAAGGGCACAGGAACTTTTAGTTGTGCAATGTAAATCTTTTCTTCTGGTCTCAAACTACTGTTACAAATTTTTTACAACTAATTTATAATCGTTTTTCATAAAGCATTAACTATGTTATAGCTTTAAGTCTGTTATTTAATCTAGACGTATTTTTCTTCTCTTCCATTTTCAGATCTCATGCCAAAACCCAAGCCCAATCCACCACCAAAACCACCGACAAAAGCCCCAGTGACTGTCAGACCTACACAACCCATCTCGGGGTCTGGGGCAGGTATGGATTGAAAATCAATTAAATAAAAAAAACAAACTCATTTTCATAAGGGCTATGAAATCAAGAGGCCCTCAAACTGAGTATCTGAACTATATTCTTATCATGATCATTACGCGCATTACTCGGTTTATCCCACAGCTTGTAAAGACAAATACACAGCCCCTAACCAATGCGATTTTTGGGCGACACTTGGAGAATGTCAGAAGAACAAAAACTGGATGAGACAGAACTGCATGAAGAGCTGTGGAGTTTGCAGTAAGAGTCAAATATATACTTTCACTAAACTCATATCTCAAATTTCACCCTTACTTCACTACCATTACCTAAATTCATCACATATTTCTTTTAAAAATCATATACTATTCCTTTCTGTAAAATATATCAAGACTAATTTTTAAGGGCAAAATAAGGAACAGTCATGTATAAAGTAGAAAAGAACATCCCATGACAGGATCTTTTACAGAGGACTCTCGAACAGCATACTTATCTTAGCTAGTTTCAGAAAAAAAAATTAGAGTCTAAAAGAAAAAGATCGTTATTAAAATAACAAGAATCACACAAACTAAGTGGCGAACTATGAGGAAAGGACGTTATATATTATATGTTCCCTGATTATAGAGACTTGATTAATATTCATAGATTGCCAGGATGTGTACAACACCGTGATGTGTAAACAGTGGGCTGATAAAGGAGAGTGCAAGAAAAACCCCAATTGGATGGAGCCGAACTGTGCTAGGAGCTGCCTTGTTTGTGGTTGGTGAAATAAAAATGTAGACTTTGTGGTTCAATCAATAATCTGACCACCTGTCGAACTGAAGTTGATCAAGGCATATCTACAGGCTTAGAAAAGTTTCAAAAAGTAGCTTTGTTTCGATAGTTCTGCGGTGTGCTTTGATCCACAGTCCGCGTAAAAACCACATCTAGTCAAGCAAATATTGAATTTCTCTGAATTGAGACTCTGGTTGGCTTTGAAGTATATCAACGGCTCTTGAGTATCATCGATAAGAGGTCAAAACAGTGTAAAAGACAAGTGACAACAGAGTTACTAATTAGGATTGTTTCCTAGTCACCTCTTACAGTTTTAGGCTGGTACGTAATCATCTACAATTGCCAGAGAGCCGTAAATTGATGACTCGGTAAAAAACATTAACAACATTGCTGCTGAAGCTTATTTTAGTTTCTGGCCACTGAAGGTCTCTCAACCCCCCTCAGAATTGAATCAAATTTCCCTGGCTATGAATATACATTGTACTTCTTGGTGGAGAGAAGTACGGCGAGAGTTGAGTGTCCTGCGCACGTCTGAGGCACTGCGCATTCCACGGAATAGTGGCACGATAAGATAAATATCAGGCGCTCTACTAATATATGAAAATAAACATTGCATTTCCTGTTTTATCAACAGACTGTTTTGACAAACACTCGAAATGCAAGCAGTGGGCTGGACTTGGAGAATGTGGAAAGAAATACGCAACATGGATGGAGGAAACTTGTAAAAAGAGTTGTAATAAATGCAATGTTAAGGGTTGAATAGATCCGATCGGTTCATCTTTGAAACAATTTTAGTTTAGTGCAAGATCCTCTTTTGTCTAGAAATGCAGTGGAAACCATTCGACAGGCTTTGTTCAGCGCGCGTTCCACCATACAGGAATTGGGTGTCTGAGGCGTTGATAACACCATTTAACCTTGACATTTTAAAGATTGCATAACAACAGTTTTCAATTAAATATCGACACATCCAAAGTAATCAGAACAGCCGATCAGAAAAAAACCTTTTTACATCGTCACAACGAAAATAAACACAATTGCACAATCTGGCCCATTTTGAAAATGCTTGTAACCATAACGTTCTGTCCTTTCCGTCTCTTCTCGATAAGTAATACTTCCGGAAGTGATTAACATGTAACTTCTCCCTATAATATCCATTATTATCTACAAAATCAGTTAATAAGAATACTCAAACTTATCAGTTAGAAGTTTTAATCTTAATCTAACACCTAATTCTCATAACCAAATTAGAAGGAAATGTGTAGCAGCTTGAGCGGAGAATTGACAGTCAGATCTTGGGAGTCAAAGGTTTAAGCGAACATAAGAAGAGGGTGATCTCGATCGAGTCAGGAGGAATTTCATCACACAGCATGTATATGAGTTTGAGAAACAAAATGCTCCAACAGAGCTTCGTCAATGGGTGGGGATTTCATGAGACCATAACCTCTGCGATACCGGTGCAGCGCTCTACAAACTGAGCTAACGAGCCAACTGGGAGCTGGCCATTATGTTGGATCCAAATAAACCTTCGAAGTGGTGAATAATAGCTGTAAACATATGAAAATCATATGTGTGTACTGCGGTTGAAGAAACGTATTTAGAATCAATCCCACCAGCTAAGAACACTACTGAACTAGTCGTTAAAACAAGGCCTGAAAAAAGAATCACATTCTTCGTGACCAAGATGACAAATAGCACCCCATACATGATCCGCTTTCCCTCAGATATCCTCTTTTCAAAATGCAAAACTCTTCCCATGTAAATCTGCTCTCCACGTGGGCGTACAAAGTAAATTAGAAATGCATAGCACAGCTGGTTACTCTTATGACATCACCAATTTGAAGAGGGTCCGTTTAAGCGTGAAACACAGAAGAGGCTGTCCTTACTTAAAGCCTCGCAGGGTTGTCCAAACATTAAAAGTCAGGTGCTGAGCTACTGGCACGCAAAATATCCGTGTACGGTCAATTTGCGTTTCTCTCTCTCTGCTAAAACCAGAACGAAAAAAATTAACAGAAGGTAAGTCCATATCTGTCTGTGATAGTAAAGACAAAAATTTCACTCGATCTTCTCTAACTTCGAACTAAATAAAACAAGCGAAAAGAAAGCAGTAATTGATAGAAGTAGGTTCCTTGTGGTGGTACGTGATAACAATTTTTTTTTTTCGGAAGAGCGCGAGGCTGAGCGAAAATAAAGAAACGTAACGTACAAGACAGTTTCAAACTTAGTTCGAAAACGAAGATTGAAATGTTGGGATTCCGATTTGGATTTCTTTTAGCACGTTTGAATTTCTTAGATATTTATCCATCACTTGAAGTCTACAATTGAGGTTGTGGTTCACTTCGCTGAGATGATCGGAAATCGTCGTTTCATGAGACCAAAGAAAGTTACGCAGGAGTTCTGCTATTAAAGAAATTTCAGAAAAGAAAGCCTAAAAAAAAAATTCAGTCTTTGACGTGATTCGAACCCTCCCTGAAATCAGTTGGGCGCCACTGCGCGCTCAGTTCATGATAGTTGGGCCTAAGCAGTATGGGTTTGAGTGACAGGGACACCTAAATGGTTATAAAGAACGTGAAACTTCTGAGTTGAACAGAGCTCTCGTCAAGTTTTCTCCTGTAAACGACGACTGTTATTATTACAAATAATTCAATTTTTGAATCGTTAAATCTTACTCTTCAATGAGTCGTTTCCAGTACGAAAAAAACAGCGTCTAAAAGAAACACCTATTTTCAATTCGTCATTTCATTCAAGAAAGACTTTAAACGTACACGGAATTTAAGCCTCTGTGGTTTGACCCTTAGAGGACAAAAGAATGATGAAACGAAAACACGACACTGGAAGTGCCATCCCTTCCGGTTGATCGAAGAACGACGGAGAAAATTTCGTTTCTGAACGCAACTCTAACTTTGAATTTTTTTCATAATCTCGACCATATACAGCTGCACTACTTTTAAAGGTTTTGAGGTCGCCCACGGGAGCTTTGAATAGGCAGGTGACGTATTAATTTTTATGGGACAGAGCGAGGGGGACTGAACAAGTGCTAGCAACGCTGAAAATTTATATAACGTAAATAGCGCCCTTATAGTTGCACCCAAAAAGCACCCGATCCGTTAACTCATTTTAAGTTACAGGAGTATTAAGTCTATCAATTGCGTTGATAGAGCACTTTCTCGATGACTGTAAAAACTTTTATTGTGCTT